AAGAAAACAGGAAATATGCTTTCCGCCCAGCCAGTGTGGCTCAATGGTTGGGTGTCGACCTCTGAACCAGGAGGTCACAGTTCGATTCACATGCCTAGGTTGTGTACGTCCCCTCCAGTAGGGGGCATGCAGGACACAGCCGATGGATGATTCCTGATTCTCTCTCATCATTAATGTTTCTAGCTCTCTCCCCATCTCCCATCCTCTCTGAAATCAATAAAATATATACTTAAAAAAATGTTTAATAAAAACAATGCTTCCTTCCTGACTTGAGACGTAGAGGTGATAAAGACAAAGCGGGAAATGCAGTTTAAAGAGGCAGGAGTCCCCAAAATGTCACTCCTCCGGGGGCCTCTTTGCCTGTTTGGAGACGCTGGCTCGTCTCCGCCCTGGGCTCAGTGACGGAGGCCAGGGCCCAGCGGAGGACCAGGGAGAGGCAGGTGGCGTGGAAGTTTCCGCAGACTGATAACAGGGGTAGGAACCGGCGGAAAAACAGGTCTGACTGCGACCAGAAGGACGTGGAGCAGAGCCAAGCACAGGCAGATCTTAGGGGACTGCAATTCCCAGGCTTCAGGGAAAGGAGCCCAAGACCATTGGGCGGAAACCCACGACAAAGTGGCATGGGGTTGATAACGAGTGATCTGCTCTCAAAGCTGGCATTCTCTTCCCCACCGGTGCTTTTTTTTAAGGTAACTTTAGCCGTCTACAATGTGCACGGAGGCTGGGTAGCCAGGCGATGGTACCGCAATCACAGAAATTTAACCCAATTAGGGTCACGTCAGCACTTCCTCTCCAGTTGCCATTAAATACTTTGCTCCTCTGCACCCAGTCATCCCATGCACGCTCCCCTCCCCAGCCTGGTGACTCACACGTTCTTGCTTCGCAAATTACTCTGTTATTAGGCCCAGTCGCAAGTGAGTAATGAATGCAAAAGCAAGGGAGTTGCGAATCTCTTTGCCAGTGACTCACAGAGGGGCCCGAGGCAAGGCCCCGATTCCGACTCAAGTTTTCCCATTTGAGCCTCCGAGATGGGCTTCCTGTCCACGAGGCCCTCCCTCAACCCGTGAAGGGAGCTGAGGAGCTTCCCTGTCACTCAGTCCCAGGGAAAGAGGGTCCGTGAGACCGCTATGCAAATGGCAAACCCATAGCTGATGAATAAAATGAAAACTGAAGGGGGGAAAACATCACCAATCCAGTGCTCACGTGTCACCTTGGTAGCTAGCTGCCTTTCAAACAGCCGAAACCCTCGAGAGAGATCTATGGGTCTGGAGCCAGAATGCCGGATGCAGGCCACCTGGGAACGTAACAGGTAAGGGGTGTGGGGCAACTCCGTCTCTCCGAACGTTCCTTGCTCACTTGCTGCTGATTCAGCCTATTGCAAACACCCGCTGTGGGCATGTGAAAATTTCTGAATGCAATGGAGCGCTGAGTCAATGTCACATACTAATATTATCTTATCACCCTAACCTTCTTGGGATGGGAAAGAATCCGGGTCAGGCTCGTTTAAATAATGAGATTAAACAATGAGTTTCAAAAGACTACTCAAGAGCCCTAGCTAGTTTGGCTCAGTGGATAGACCGTCGGCCTGTGGACTCAAGGGTCCCAGGTTCGATTCCGGTCAAGGGCATGTACCTTGGTTGCAGGCACATCCCCAGTGGGGGGTGTGCAAGAGGCAGCTGATCGATGTCTCTCTCTCATCGACGTTTCTAACTCTATCCCTCTCCTTTCCTCTCTATAAGAAGTCAATAATATATATATATTTTTAAAAAGACTACTTAAGAGAGAGCAATGGGCACCCTCCACAGCCACCTCCCCCAGCTCTCCACAGGCTCGCTGCTGGGAGGGGTACCTGGGTCATGTCCTCGCAGTGAGGGGGCCTCCATGATGGGCACAAACAGTGCTGAGCAGCAAGCACAGCGGAATGGCCTGGAGCCACTGCACATGTTCTCTAGCGTCCGCCTTCCCAACCATGAGGTTCCCCGAGGGGAACACAGGCTTCCCCCGCACAACACGCTGAGGTGGGATTCCCAGGACAGAACCTGTGGGAACCCGAGGCCTATTGGCTTAGCAGGGATTAGGGCTTGGGCCCAAACAGCGTGGCTCAATGGTTGAGCATCCATTTATGCACCAGGAGGTCACGGTTCGATTCCCAGTCAGGGCAGGTGCCCAGATTGCAGGCTTGATCCCCACTAGGAGGCGTGCAGGAGGCAGCTGATTCATGATTCTCTATCATTGTTTCTATCTCTTCCTCTCCCCAACTCTCTCTCTAAAAATCAATACACATATTAGTAAGAAAAGGGATGACGGTTTGGGACTTTGAATGCCCATCCTCTCCCCTTCCCGGCTACATGATCTCACAAGAGAAGCTCCTTCCACGCGCCGACTACCTTGGCATTTGAATGGGGGAAATGATATTTTGTTTTGGTCAGGATTGAACAATGACACGTGTCTACATCGCCCTATAGGACGCCGGCCAGTTGGGTTAGGTTAGTCAGTGCCCAGTAAGCTGTGCGTGTCAGAGCAGAGGTCACTGTTTGCACCTCTGTCAATGGCCCCGGGGGCCCAGAGCCATGTGGGGTGACCCAGAGCTCGGGTGGGTAAGGCGGCCACTTCTCAGGGGGACGAGGGCCACCTGCTCCCCTCAGGGACGGCAGGATCTTCCACACCGGGACCCACCGTGGGCAGTGCCTCCTTGGGAGTCATTTTTTGGGGTGACCCGCACGAGGGCGAGGGCGTGGGGCTACATCACGATCAGGAAGGAATCTGGAGCAGCCATCGCCCTCACAGCTGGAGGGGCAGGGCTTACTCTCCGGGAAGGACTGGGGGTTACTCAGGCACACTGGTGAAGCAAGCCCCGCATTTTAATATTTTTAAATGCACGCTTACGTAATGTGTGGAGGCGGGGTTTCCTGTGGTGCCGCCCGCCGCCCCCACAGAGCCAGCGCCCCTTGGAAAAGGAGGAGATGAGAAACATGCCGCTCATCCGCAGCGAGGGTGGGGTGCACCGGGTCTGAGAGCCCACAGGACAGGGCAGGGAGGTGGCGAGGGAGGGCGGAGAAACCAGCTCCATTGCGCGCTCTCTGTGGCTGTCGTCTTTGGCTTTGAAAGCACAAACAAAGCCTGAACAAGAAATGGCCGCACTTCCCTCTGCAATGACTGCAAGAACAGGCCAGGCAATGGCCCTGCTGTGGGCGTCGCCACTCTCTCCCTCGGCCAGCCAGCTGCTCCCTCTGTCCACGGACACCAGCCCTTGCTATTTCTTTAAAATATATCTTTATTGATTTCAGAGAAGAGGGAAGTGGGACAAAGAGAGAGAAACATCAGTGATGATAGAATCGCTGATTGGTTGTATACTGCATGCCCCACACTGGAGATCGAGCCCACAACCTGGGCCTGTGCCCTTAAACAGGAATGGAACTGGGACCTACTGGTTCATAGGCTGATGCTCAGCCACTGAGCCTGGCCGGCTGGGCAGGCCTTACTGTTTTTATTCACCAAGAGAAAATAACCCATAAACTCTCACCACTGAGAAGAACTAGTCATTCCTGTCTAGCCTTTCTCTAATGTAAGAAGCCCCTTCGAGGGGGAAAAAACAAAACAAAAAAGTGTAAGGCCAGATCTTTACCAGATAAGGGAGAGAGAGATACAGAGACAAGAGATAGAGAGACAGAGATACAGGGCATCTACAAAGTCTGGAACATAGAGAGAATGTTTCATTTATTCAAAATACTATTTTTTGGATTAATGATGGAATCTATAGCTTCAAATGTAGAGATATTTTGTATGCAAAAGTGTTTGGGGAAAAAAATCTCGTCTACCGCATGAATATGTAACATAAAAATAAAACATTTCCCAGGTTTCCGGGCTGTCAAACGGGTGTCCTTACACGTCTGTCTGTATGCTCCCTGACCCGGCAGGAGTTGGTTAGGCTGGGAGGGTGTGGACCCGGGCAAGCCCACCGACATGTCAGCCAGGAGAAAGCTCAAGGCGAGTGATTCAGATGACCAGCGGCACCGACACACAATTTTGCTGCTGAAAACCGAGAATAGCTACACTGCTTTCCGACAGAATACAAATTAAAGGATGATTAAAATGGTAACAACTAATCCCAACTTACTAAGTTTCTTCCACAAGCGTGAGCTCTTTGAATCCTCCCAAAGACAGGGTCTAGGAATGCCTCCATTTACAAGGAACGAGTACAGTGGGGAGGGGTCCAGTGGCCAGCTCAGACTGACAGAGCCCACACAGATGGAGGCATTCAGGGCAAAGGCTACTTCTCTTGCCCTGACTCCATCCCGCTTTCAGAATCAGTGCTGGGGAGCGTGCTCTGCGAGTAACTACCCACGTGTTTGAGTGTCAGCTGGGATGCTTTCGGAGAAATGTGATTGCGGAAGTTCTCTCACGGGAGAGACCGGAAGCGGGAGACCTACAGGACAGAGCCAGCCCTCCTTCCACACTGAGCAGCAGGTTTTGGCGGGTGGGAAGGAGCAAGGAAGGGCTGCATCCAGAGCAAACAGGGTGAACACCACTGAGATCGAGGCTCATGCAACAACTCCCGTTTCAAAAAGGAAAAGTGAGGAAGCTACTGTATTTCACAGAGAATAGTATGGTACTGGCCTGGCCCAAACACCATTGCTCCCAGGATATGAAAAACAATACCATGCGATAAAGTTTAGAGTTCCAGCTGTTATTTTCCACCATTTCAATTAAGAAAGCACAGTAGAGCCAAAACCGGTTTGGCTCAGTGGTAGAGCGTCGGTCTGCAGACTGAAAGGTCCCAGGTTCGATTCCAGTCAAGGGCATGTACCTTGGTTGCGGGCACATCCCCGGTAGGGGGTGTGCAAGAGGCAGCTGGTCGATGTTACTCTCTCATCAATGTTTCTAGCTCCCTATCTCTCTCCTTTCCTCTCTGTAAAAAATCAATAAAATATATTATAAAAAAAAAAAGAAAGAAAGAAAGCACAGTAGAGGCAAAATGAAAGGTAAATAATGATAATTACCTTGAATGTATATAATAGCTCACTTCCAACGAACTCAGGTACGGTATAAATATATATATATACGTGTGTGTGTATATATATTAAAGTGTCACGTTTCTTTTCACAGCATCCCTGCAGAGGCAGAAAGGGGCAAGTAATTAGTAGACTATACAATTATATCCATAGGTTTCCTTCTAACTATAAAGTCTTTAGTCACCGTTACAAACCAGTGGTAGAACTTGGTGCCAATCGAATTGGGCCGGCCAATCAGTTTTGTTTGCCCACCATAGCATTTAAAACAGTTCGAGCCCACATTTAAAACATAGTATCTGGGAAGCCCAATTGAGCAAAGGGTGCCTCTACCTACGGGAGCTACAGGCCATCGCTGACCAGCCTGGACCACTGCCAACTCCATCACCTGACTGGCTTTCCAAGGCACTTCACTCTGGAGTTCCTTGATTTGTCCGTGTGAATTATGTCTTCCAAGTAACTTGAGTAAAGGTAATCATGACTTAGCATAGCCTGGTGTGATTTCAGTCATATTAAAGCAGATGGTTTTCCAAAGGGCCAGCTGTGCCCCTTCAGTGCCCCGACGGTCCACTCTGGCCCTCCATGGGAATTACTTGGGCGGGATTTATAAGCCACACTCTCCCCTCATGCAGACCATGCAAATCAGGGTCTCTGAAGGCACTGGTACTGTTGTTATTGCTGCTTCACAAACTCATTTACTGAGGTACAGCATACGAAGAGCAAAGTGACACACCCTAAAGGTGAACACACCTATGTCATAACCAGCAGCCAGACCGAGAAGAGGGATGTTCCCAGGACATATGTATGTGTTTCTGTAGGGCATGTACCTAGGAGTGGAATTGCTAGGCTGTTGTATATTCAGTTTCAGCAGACATTGTCAGACTGCTTTCCAAAGTGTTACCTCAATTTATGCTCTTACCTCAGAGGGAGAGAGACACAGAGAGAGAGAGAAAAAAGAGAGAGAGAGAGAGAGATTTTTTGTTTCACTTTTTCATGCTTTCAGTCATTGGTTGATCTCCTTATGTGCCCTGACCAGGGACCGAACCTGCCACCTTGGCGTATCGGGACAATGTGTAACCACAATGCTACCAGGCCAGGGCCTGGCTTTAGTATATATATTTTTAAGTTCTCTATTGGATCTTATTTTCAGCCAGTATTGAGAACCACTATCCATGGGTCAGAAGAGTAATTCATAGGCCATGACCAGAGATTGTCTACAGTGGAACGGAATAGAAGAGAAGACATCAATACGTATCAAGCATTGTTTAGTGAAACTTTTTTTTTCTCAGTTAGTGTGTGTGCGTGCGTGTGCTTGTGCGTGTGTGTGTTCGAAGGGGTCTAAAAAGCATTTTCTTGCCATCGATGATAATAAAAAAAATTATTAAATCCACTATAATGGTGTAATCAGTAAAACAATTACTTAGGAAAACTCAACTTGCATATCACTTTACAGTCATCATCTAGAAATGCTCTGAGAGAAGCTTTTCTCTCCCCAGCTGGCTGAGGACCAGAATTCCCAGAGAGCAGCTCTCGCTGGAGACAAGGCATGGAAAGCCCCTGACGGCTGATGCACCAGAAGGAACTCATTAGAGGCCCCTACCCTCTGACCCACAGGGGAATATGATAATGAGCCCATGATGTGAGCACCATAAGCGAAAACGGTTAATCCGCACAACCTGGGATTTGTTCAGCATCAGCATAGTCTAAGTTTGTGAAGTTCTGATCAGATGTTAAACAAGAAAACACACTTGAGGGCAAGAAATCGAAGCCAAGTTAGTTATTAAATGATATCAAGTCATCTTCATTACTGAGGAATATGCTCTCAGAATTTTTGCTTGCATTGTGACATGATGACTTTATTGTTCAGCCTGAGTGAGGGCCAACCTAATCAACAAGTTTTTACTGACTACCCACTAAAATACACATGTCTGGCAAAGGAATCAAAATAAAAGAAATAGACCTTGTTTTCGCATATGATATCGATAGAGGATAAGTGGGTTAACGCATGTGACTTTTTCTCCCTAAGTGCTTCATTTTAGAACATGGAGATAGTAAATGAAAATGATTTTAAGCCTTTTAATGTAATATTTTATCTCTTCAAATAACCCAAACTTAGGCTCCAGTTGTGAATTTTGTGATTTTCCCTTTAGTGAGAAATGTACTCGGTGACCATTTCACGATGCATACAAATATTGAATCATTCTGTAACATCTAAAGGACTATCACATCATGTCAATTACTTCTAAATTAAAAGGAAAAGCTGGAGACCTTCCACTGCTCCCTCTGCCAGGCTGGTGACCCAGGCCACATGGGTCAGAAGGCACCACTGCAGGACAGAAGCAGGCAGCACAGGAGAAGAAATCAACCTCGGGTGGGCACACACACACATAGGTGCCTTTTGGCTTTATTTTACATTTTGCACATGCACACGAATGTGTGTGTCCGTGAGTCTGTCTGTGGTGTGTGTGTGTGTGTGCCTGCTTATGGTGTGTGTGTGTGTGTGCACGCACGCGTGCCAATGCTAAGCAGAGGTGTTTGGAACTTGTGGTGAAATATCTGAGTTTCCTGGCATTTCCTGAAGATATAATTCAGGAAACAATAAAAAAGAAACTTTCCATTGAACTGGAACTTCTGTAAACCAAACATCAGCTATGCGTTAGGCCTCTGGTCTGTTCCGTTTACTCTCCTTAAGAATATAGCACAGCCTGACTGGTGTGGCTCGTGGTTGAGCGTCCTATGAGCCAGGAGGTCATGATTTGATTCCCAGTCAGGGCACATGCCCGGGTTGCTGGCTCGATCCCCAGCAGGGTGCTCGCAGGAGACGGCTGATGAATGATTCTCATCACTGATGTTTCTAACTCTCCCTCTCCCTTCCTCTCTAAAATCAATAAATATATACATTTTAAAAGAACTTTAAGGTAATACAAGAATGAAATTTGGAAATAACTTAGCTGTTTAAAAAACCCAGCGATTGCTGAAATCTATATACAATCAAGCATCTGTGCACCATCAACAGAAAGCCCCGAGGGGATTCTGGCTGTTACAGTGGCGAACAAGGTCAAATTCTTACTCAATCTCTTGCTCTCCTGCCATTGGAAGTTTTATACCTAAGCCCTAGTTTATTTTAATTGGGATTTTAGCTTAGTTGATGTTTTCATCGTTTAAAATCCTTGCTACAAGACATAATCTTAGGGCAATACATGTAGTATGAGCCATAAAACGATGATACTGACAGTTGCATAGGACAAACTGCGGCTCGAGAGCCACATGTGCCTTTTGGCCCCTGGAGTGTGGCTCTTCCACAAAATACCACAGCATGGGTGAGTCTGTTTTGAAGAAGAAGTTTAAACAATTTGGTTCTCAAAAGAAATGTCAGTGGTTGCACTGTTGGTAGTTGGCTCTGTGGACTGAGTTTGCCGACCACTGACTGGGAAAACGTCCTGCTACTTGGGGATGCCTGGCATGGTGCCCAGTGTTTGGTCTGTCCAGGGTGGACACAAAGATTCTTCCAACCGTTCTGGCTCCACCGAGTACAGGAAACAGCCAATTGGGCTGTGTAAGGCCAGGAAGGCCAGCACAGGCGTTTCCAGGAAAAGGGGGTGCGACTGCGCTGGATCCCAGAGGAACTTCCTGGGGCTCCCGCCTCCTCTCTGTGCTGACCTGCACTTCCCCGGAGTCAGAGATGCGACAGGCTGTCCAAACATCGTTCCTGATGCCAACCCACCTACTTGCCAAACATGACTTCAGGCTTTGAGCCAGAAAATAAGCCAATCACGCATGCCCCAAACCCATCTGTAGGAAGGTGTGTTGTCTCCAGCGCAATCTTGGCACTGTATCCCTGAAGTCACACTGGGGAGCCTTGGACACCACACTGTATACTCTCTGTTCCTCCTCTCACGCGTACCCACCGGCAATGCTTCTTCGGGGGCCCAGGAGCACTCAGGTGGGGTGTGTGTGTACTGACCTCCAACCCTGCAATCATTCACACAGGCACTGACTTGGGAAGCATCTGATGTTCTTGCGTTCCTACCTACATTCACTCCACTTTAGGATGGCCACGGCCCCAGCCCAAAGTGGGATCAGCTCCACCGTGAAGGATCCCCATAATCGCAATGGGATTTTCTAAGAAAGTCAGGCTCACTGTGGTATAACGAAGCATCAACGAATGACCAGAGATGTGAATACAGATGGAAGGTCCACCACTTGTCAGTCACAGGGGAGGTGCTCTGCTTCGATCGGCTGCCTCCTGCACGCCCCCTAGTAGGGATCGATCCCGAAACCTGGGCGTGCATCCTGACTGGGAATAGAACCAGCAACCTCTGGGTTCCTGGGTCGACGTTGAGCCGCTGATCACATCAGTCAGGCTCGTCTTTCTGTTCTTTATAGCAAACAACCCTGTGCAGTGGGCATTATAATGACCGCCTTATCAATAAGGAAACAGGTTTGAGGAAATTCTCTGACTTGCCCAGGCCACTGAGTTAACGAGCAGATGGACTGAAATCTAGATCTGTCTGCCTCTCTAGCGCACATCCTGCCCACCACACCATGCGTGCCCCCCAATAGTGAAGTGAAGCAGACCGCAGACTGACTCTTGGCCTCGCGCTGTGAGACGCCACGTGAGCGTGTTATCCTGGGTCCGGGGCTGCCCAGAGGACAAGGGCTCCATGCAGGGCTGATGGCATCGAACAGGAATGCAGAAGGCTCCAATCGCATGGATCTCTGCGTGCCGTAGGAGCGTCCCGGCTCCCTCCCTTCCCTGCTCTGCCTGTCAGCCTCACTCAGCCCACACTTCCTCATCGAAAGCTGCCCAACGTGAGTTTTATCTCATTGAAATAAGAAAATGCACATATACACAGCGATGTGTGTGTGTGTGTGTGTGTGTGTGTGAGAGAGAGAGAGAGAGAGAGAGAGAGAGAGAGAGAGAGAGATTACTAACCCAGAATTCTCATGAAACTTGTGTTGTCCCCAACTAAAGCCATCCCGGGATGGTCAGGCTTTTCACTTCTCCATCTGCCAGGCTTCCCCAGCAAACCACGCTGTGATCTCCCTCTCTGGGGTCTCCCTCTCCTGGGGTCTCCCTCTCCTGGGGTCTTCCTCTCCTGGGATCGCCCTCTCCTGGGATCTCACTCCCGGGCCATTCTCCGTGTCCCTCCAATGAATCAGTGCAAACTCCTCCGCCGGCCGGGTCACCGGTCCCCAGTGGAAGTCTCCCCACCAAAGACGTCTGAAGCACTGCTCACCGAGCAAAGGGCTCAAACCCCTCTTTTCTGCCTCTCTCCCGGAAAATCCGGCCAAAATGAGCATTGTGACACACACACACACCTCTCTCTCTCTCTCTCTCTCTCTCTCCCTCTCTCTCTCTCTCTCTCTCACACACACACACACGCACACGCACACTCACAATCAAACACACACACTCAAGGCCTCTGAGTTTGGGTTTGAAAGTCACCAGCAGCCTCAGCCAGAGGTGCCTACCTTTCTGGAGCTTCAGTCCACAGAAGGCGCCCGGCCCCGGCCCCGGCTCCGCAGCCCCGCCGCCTGCCCGCGCTCCAGCCTCCAGCCCGGCGCCTGCTACCACCGGGCAGCGCTGCTCATCGCTGCGGCGTGCGCTGAGACTCCTGCAGGGACCCACCCTCCGAAGTTGCAAGTCAAGATTTCTGACTGAGGGCGATCCGTGACGTGAGGCAGAGCGACCGGATGGCACCTGCAGGTTCTTCCAGATGGGACGTCCTCTCCTGCCTCACTGCTGGGAGAGGAGAGACGTGGAATTCAGTCCCACACCGAGCCACAGCCAGTTGCCTCATCCCAGGGGCCTTTCGGGGCGCACAGCTATGAGTCAAC